AAAAAAAAAAAAAAAAGAAAAGAAAAGCTGATGAAATCTAAATAAAATCTAGAGTTGGTTAACAGTAAGGGACCAGGGCTAATCCATTAATTTTGGCAGATGTACCACGGTTATATAAGTTACGGATGAAGGGTATGGGAGAACTCTACACATCTATCTTTGTAAATTTTCTGTAAATCTTAGAAGTCTCACTAAATAAAAATCCATTTAAAAAAATAAAGAACTTGGTTGTCACAGTCTGGGAGTGGGTATGGGGAGGGGTCCGTGTTTCATGAGCACAGAGTTTCAGCTTGGGAGGATGAAAGAGTTCTGAAGATGGATGGTTGGGATGATTACACATCAATATGAATGTAGGCTCAGTGCCTATGGCTCAACCGGCTAAGGCGCCAGCCACATACACCTGAGCTGGCGGGTTCGAATCGAGCCCAGACCCACCAAACAACATTGACGGCTGCAACCAAAAAACAGCCGGGCGTTGTGGCGGGCACCTGTAGTCCCAGCTACTTGGGAGGCTGAGGCGGGAGAATCGCTTGAGTCCAGGAGTTGGAGGTTGCTGTGAGCTGTGATGCCACAGCACTCTACCCAGGACAACAGCTTGAGGCTCTGTCTCCAAAAAAAACAAAAAACAAAAAACCAATATGAATGTACTTAAGCCATTGAACTGTATACTTAAAATGGTAAATATCATATACATTTTTTTAAATTCTGATTTTCACCTGAGTAAATTTCATAGCTGACACCCAACCCATCAGTAAGTCCTATCAACAGATCTTTCTATCCCAATGGCTTCTTCATACCCCACCCCTCACACCTGGTCCAGACTACCCAAATTTCCCCCAATCCTCAGCCACAGTTGGCTCACTGCTCTCCTGCCTCCACTCTTGGCCCTGTCACCTAACTGCTCCACAAGAGTCACTCCTGTATCACACCTTCACTCAAAACTTTCAATGGCTTCTCATCATACCCGAGGAAAAAAGTCCAAATTTCACTATAATCTAGGTGATTTTTAATCTTTTCCTCTGACCACTCCTCCTTTCCTCACTCTGCTCCAGTATTTCTGGACTTCTGGATATTCCTTAAATACCTAATTGTTCCCACCTCAGGGCCTTTGCACAAGCTGTTCCTGCTGCTTTGAGTAGTCTGCCTCTAATGCTTCCCTGGCTCACTTTCTCACCTCATCCAGCTCTTGGCATAAAAGGCCAGAGACTTTCTCCTGGACTCCTGACCTACCCATCCATCTCTCCCCTAAACCTCTATTTCCTGCTCTCTTTTCTTTATAATATTACATTTATTATGTTAACTGATAGAAACACACACACACACACACACACATAATTTTTTTATTGTCTGTCTCCCCAGATAGAATGTAAGATCTCTGTGAGGAGGACCATAGCTGCCTTCTCAAGTCTTGTGGCTTCAGTGCCTAGAAGATGGCCTAGACTTAGGAGATACATCATGAATACTAATCAAATGAAAGGAAAGTCATGAGTTCTTCTGCAAGTCCTTAGGTAGAATTTCTAGTTTTCTTCAAATACATCCTAACACATTTTTTTTCTTACTCAGGCCCATGTGAGGTTCTAATCCACCACCTTTGGTGTGCAGGGCTAGCACTACTGAGCTATGGTGCCCAGCTCTAACACAGTTTTATACTAAGAGACAGGGACTAGCTATGTTGCCCAGGCTATGTTGCCCAGGCTATGTTGCACAGAGGCTATTCACAGGCATGATTATAGCATGCTACACCCTCCAAATCCTGGGCTCCAATAATCCTTCCACTCAGCCTCTGAGTAACTGGGACTACAGGTGTGCGCCACTACACTTAGCTCTAATGCTTTCTTTTAAAGTTTATTCTAAGTCATATATATATACATATATGAGACAGAATCTCACTCTGTCACTCCAGCTATAATGTTGTGGCATCAGCCTAGCTCATAGCAACCTCAAACTCCTGGGCTCAAGAGATCCTCCAGCCTTATCTTACTGAGTAGCTGGGACTACAGGTACCTGCCATGACACTTGGATAATTTTTTCTATTTTTAGTAGAGATGAGGTCTTGGTCTTACTCAGGTTGGTCTTGACCTCTTGAGGGTTCCTTCTACCTCAGCCTCTAAGAGTGCTAGGCCGACAGGCATGAGCCGCCATTCCCAACTTAACTTTTTTTGAGAAAGTCTCACTTTTCTGGCCCTATTAGAGTACCGTGGTGTCACAGCTCATAACAACCTTAAACTCTTGGGCTCAAGCCATCATCTTGCCTTAGCCTCCCCAGTAGCTGGGGCTACAGGCATCCATGACAATACCAGGCTGTTTTTTAGAGATGGGGTCATGATCTTGCTCAGTTCAAGAGATCAACCTACCTCGGCCTCCCCGAGTACTGAGATTACAGCATGAGCCACTGCTCGTATCCTATTTATGTTTTTGAGACAGAATCTCGCTCTGTTTACTGGGCTAGAATTCAGTGACATCATGATAGCTCACTGTAACCTCAAACTCCTGGGCTCAAGCAGTCTTCCTGCCTCAGCCTCCTGAGTAGCTAGGACTACAGACATGTGCTACTACAACTGGCTAATTTAAAAAAAAAAAAAAATTGTGTGTGCAGACAAGATTTCACTACATTGCGCAGGCTGGTCTTGAACTCCTGGCCTCAACTGATCCTCCTGCCTCATCCTCTCACTTTGAGAAAGTGCTGGGGTTACTATTATGAGCTACTGTACCCAGCCTTTTAAAAAAGCAGTTAATTGTTTAACTCCAGATAATCCAGGATAATCTCTGTATTTCAAGGTCTTTAATTTAAGCATGTCTACAAAGTTCTTTTGCTAAGTAAGGTAACAGTCACAGGTTCTAAGGATGAAGGCATGGACATCTTTGGGAGCCAACTTACCATAGGTTGCTTTCAAGATTTTCTCTTTGTATTTCGTTTTCAGCAGATTAAGGATGATGGGTCTTGGTGCTTGCATATTTAAGTGAGTTGTGTGTGTTTGATATTTTGTCAAGTGACCCAATAATATTCTTTATAGAAAAAGAAAAATAAATATGTTTGTGTGTATTTTTTGGTCCAGGATCCAATCTGGACCTGTACTTTCTATTTGGTTCTCCCTCCTCTTCTGTCTCCTATAACCCGGAACAGTTTTCTAGTCTGCCTTTGTTTTTCATGACAGTGATATTTATTCAGAGTCCAGGCCAGTTATTGTTTAAAATGCACCTTGATTTGGTTTGTCTGGTATTTCCCCAGTAGATTTGGATTCTATCCTTTTGGTAGGAATGACACACACAGGGGGACTGTCCCTCTTGGGGTATCGGCTCAGGGGGTATGTGATGATATTCTTTTGTTCCTACCATGAGATGTTAACTTTATCACTTGATTAAGGTGCTATCTCACAGATTTCTTCACTGTAAAGTTACTGATTTCCTCTTTTTAATCAAAAAGTATCTTCTAGTTAGAAACTTTAGAGTCATGTAAATTTCTTTTTTTTTTTTTTTTTTTGAGACAGAGCCTCAAGCTATCCCCCTGGGTAGAGTGCCATGGCATCACACTCACAGCAACCTCCAACTCCTGGCCTCAAGCAAGTCTCCTGCCTCAGCCTCCCAAGTAGCTGGGACTACAGGCGCCCGCCACAACGCCTGGCCATTTTTTGGTTGCAGCCATCGTTGTTTGGCGGGCCCGGGCTGGGGATTCGAACCCGCCACCTTAGGTGTATGTGGCTGGCGCCCTAGCCACTTGAGCCACAGGCGCTGAGCCGTGGAGTCATGTAAATTTCTTATCAAATTTTCACTCACAACCAAAAATGTTACCTTTTGGATGAAAACATATATAAATGGATTGTTATTTTACTATTGAACTGAGACAAGAAATAGTCTCAAACAAGAAACAAAGGTGCACTACATTTCAGATCTGAGGAGCTTATATTTATATAATCATAACCATAATGTAATAAATAAATGAATACGTAAGTCGATAAGTAATTGGACAAGCCCACTATCCTCTATGAAGGACACCTGTAGATAGACAAGTTATGTTGCAGGTGAACATCAAGAGAGACTCTGAAATGTTTCAGCAGTGATCCAGCTATGGAATATTAGAGCCACAGGCCATCTCACCATGGACTCAAGGGCAGACACGAGGAACGTCACTTCCATTCTGCCCTCCGAAGATGACTCTTCAATAGGCAGGGTGGACACTGCTACTTGGGCCATGGTCCCTGTGCAAGAAAAGTGAAAAAAAAAAAAAAAATGAGTGGCAGAAACCTGGCGTCCTAAACCCACGTTTAGAGCTGTGAAGGCCTTCATAGAAGACCTAGTTCAAACCTTACTTTAGAATTAAGAAACTGACATTTAAAGAGGTTTGGTGACTTGCCCACAATATCCTGAATTGTAACACTATCTTTTATAAAGTGCATTTTCCACTAAACCTACACATCACCTCCCTAGAAAACAAATTCAGGTATTACACTAGAAAAGCACAGTAAATGTTTCCCAGATGAGGGGAAGGAAATGTATCTTACTAATCCATTGATCAGCTGAGATGTTTTGTCAGCTTTCAGCATGGCTGTGCCGGATACCACATTCCACTTCACTTACACATAAAAAGGAGACAGCTGGGTTGTGTACTACAGATGAGAAAATTCCTTCTTTCCTTCCCCCCAGGACTTCTGACACATAAAAGCTTACTCTAAATTTTGCCAAGCTCTAAATAAAATTAGCTTTTAAATTTTTTGAA